CGCAGAACGCATCATGCGCGGCAGTACGACAGTAAGGCCAGAACACTTACCATCCACAGTGACGGGTCGGGTAGCAACAGCAGAGTCAGTGTAGCTCGGGACTGTCCGCAGGGCGGACTTCTGTTACTCAGACTTGTGGTGCCTAGTGGTGAACGATCTCCTCGTCAGGCTCAGGAGTGCTGGCGATTTAATATGACTAATAGCTGATCGGGGGCGAATAATCATATTGTAATGAACTTTTCATAAATCTCTTCTAATTCAAGTTTATCACTCCTCTTTCATTAACAAGTCAAACGATCGTTTACACCCTCTGCAACCAAATAGAACTTCGTGGCTGTTCAACTCGACAGCGCCGCGCAGATGAGAATGGTAAATATTTTCATCGCGCTCACTTTGCCTGCGGTGATTGATTACGGCAAAAACGGGGTAATTTATGACGACCGGGCTAGCTCGAGTTAGGTTGCGCGGATATACAGTTCGGGACAGCCTAAAAAAAGTTTTAATGCGACATTACCTTATCGAAATGTTGATGAAATCATACGGCTTAGCTGGTTCGGATCATTTGATGATGTTTGAATATAATGATGATCCTGTTTGGATCGATATATTACTCTCTCTTTGAAGTTGTGTCATTAATTTTCAGATAATGATTGTAGAAGGAAGATAAACCAAAATATGTGTGTAAAAAAAATGTTACCTTGTTTTATAAAGTATCCTCCCGACAAGTATTTCAGGGCGGACCTGTATTTGATCGTGCGGTCTTGGAGCACCGGCATGCCCTCCCCTGCGAGGTCTTAAGTCACCTGATTCACGAGCCCTTTGTACTACATTAACAAAGGCACGAGGAGTTGGTTGCACTCGATTGCGAAACCGATCCGCATAAATCCGTGATGCCGCGGCAGCATTTTGTAAAGACTCCCCCCCTCCCATGTCCACAAGTTCAGCATTTTCGTAAACATGTGCCATTTTTTATTTCGTTTGAGCCTCGCAACAAACACCACTATTCACTCACGCGTTACCGACTGACACTGACTGTATACAACTGAATAAAATTATTGTAAAAACATCGTTCCAAATTCTTTCGCTTTTTTGTTTCCGATGCGATGAACCGATAAGGCGGATTATATCCGTTGTTGCCAAACACGAGCACATAATATATAATATAAATATAATATATAACTTTGTTACTTTAATTTTACCACAAAAATGTTAAAGGAAAAAAACATTTCTTTTGATCAGATCTACTCACTGTTAAAATAAATGACTCAACTTCGAAGTCACCCTGTATAAATGTGATTCTGTCAGCAGCACGCCTTAACAAAAATAAGGAGAGACGTAATCGTTTGATACCAGACGAAGGTTTTATCAATCGTCGTGGCAATTAGCAAAATCTCCACCGACAGCGCCAAGCCGGCAACAGCGCGGCCTGCCTTCGCCCCACCCAACCTCAACCAAAGCTTTATTTTGCACCAGCTGTCACCCTTCTTACGTATCTTTGATGGCATTAGTAAATTGACAGCCAACTTGTATGCTTGGAAAATTAGAGGCGTCTCATCTTCTATGGCTGTTCCTCCAGGTGTCCCTCAGGGGTCTGTCTCCGGTCCTTTGCTGTATTTAATATTACTTTCGGTTTACGATCATGTATGGAGCTTTGTTCTATACAAAGTTACGCGGATGATATGCAACTTTCGGTTCATTTTCACTTGAAGTGTCATATAAAGTAAATTACGATATTGCCAATGTGAATGATTTTCATAAGAGACACATCTTGTAAGGGTGTCATCTTCGACTACAGTTTAAGGTTTGATTAATATGTGAATCGTCTATCAAAAAGCAGCTTAAGGCTACTAATCGATTGGTTATAAAATTTGAAACCTGTGAAAAGCTAGATGAAAGTTTGGTAATGTCCAGCCTTAACTATGCGGCTTTAACTAGTCCCCCTTCGAGGCTGAAAGCTGGTGTTCTATAAAGGAATATTTGACATTGAGATGACCTTAAGAGAAACGATTAAATTCAAGGTCGTCGTTGATATGAAGGCCAACATCAAATACAACTTCTTCAAACATCCCGGAGAGGAGATTCTTATGACGCATAAAACGTTCGTACATTCATTTAAAGCAAACGATTAGATAAAGATTCCATCCTAAGTAACAAGCATCATAACAATGCGCCTTCGGTGTGTAAACAACCGATAAACAGACCATTTGCGAACCATTATCCCTGTTTATTTCGCCAGGCTTGAACGCTTGAACGTATATCATCGACTACATAAAAGCCCCCGCTAATAAATCATAACTACCGACTTTACGGGATTTTTCGACGATTATTTCCATTTCTACCTGCGCTGCTGTTATCAACCAGCCATGTCGCCAACGTGACAGTATCCACTCGGAGTGTATTGCAGAAATATACTCGCCTCATTACCAATTCATATGAGCCGCGATATTATTTATTTGCCTGCTTTGTAAATAATACGCAAACGCTGTGGCTTGTGTGATCCGAAGAATATCGTCTGGTATTTTCTTCAAATAGTAAACACGGATTGCAGTGCTATCATTTGCACTGCTCACAATAAATTTTACTCAAGTGTCAATTTGACCCGCATTTAAAGCAATGAACTGTTGTCACTGTCTCTTGCAAGTATTGTTCAAAATTGTCTGGGAGATTCAAAACTAAAAAAGAAATCACGAAGGATCCTGAAAAACGATCCGAATGCACTCGCGAAGCCTCGGTAACCTTTCGAAGACAACTCGCTAATCTTGAATCTTTGGTGTGTATGTTACCAGAAAAAACTGCTAATTTTCAGAGTTCTACAACTCGTACAAACGAAAGTCCCAACATTGAGTAAGTGCGAGTGGATTTTTTGAACAATTAAGAATCTTGAAATAAAACACTTTATTTAAGAAAAAGGTTATATGTAAAAAATTACACAATTAATTATTTTCTGAATAATTTGAGCCTACAATAATTGAGCAGCTGTTGCAAATTGGTATTCTTCGAAAATATTGTTTTCAAGGTTGACAGTGTCTCAAGGGTTAACGTATTATAAGACACACAACAATTCTGGCGTTTAAAAAGGGATCTGAATGATACCAGCGCTATCTATGAAGCAGTAGCAGATCTCAAAAATGAATTTAGATATCTAATATGAAAAGAGAGTGTTCAATTCTACCACCGTCTCATAGATGGCGCTTGGATACGTAGCCATGCATCGGTATAGGCGGTATAGTGGACAAACTGAAAAAGAAATCACGAAGGATCTTGAAAAACGATCTGAATGCACTCGTGAAGCCTCGGTAACCTTTCGAAGACAACTCGCTAATCTTGAATCTTTGGTGTGTATGTTACCAGAAAAAACTGCTAATTTTCACAGTTCTACAAGTGGTGCAAAGGAAAGTCCCAACATTGAGTAAGTGCAAGTGAATTTTTTGAACAATTAAGAATCTCGAAATAAAACACACTATTTAAGAAAACGGTTATATGTAAAAAATTACACAATTAATTATTTTCTGAATAATTTGAACCTACAATAATTGAGCAGCTGTTGCAAATTGGTATTCTTCGAAAATATTGTTTTCAAGGTTGACAGTGTCTCAAGGGTTAACGTATTATAAGACACACAACAATTCTGGCGTTTAAAAAGGGATCTGAATGATACCAGCGCTATCTATGAAGCAGTAGCAGATCTCAAAAATCAATTTAGATATCTAATATGAAAAGAGAGTGTTCAATTCTGCCACCGTCTCATAGATGGCGCTTGGATACGTAGCCATGCATCGGTATAGGCGGTATAGTGGACAAACTGAAAAAGAAATCATGAAGGATGCTGAAAAACGATCTGAATGCACTCGCGAAGCCTCGGTAACCTTTCGAAGACAACTCGCTAATCTTGAATCTTTGGTGTATATGTTACCAGAAAAAACTGCTAATTTTCAGAGTTCTATAAGTCGTGCAAAGGAAAGTCCCAACATTGAGTAAGTGCAAGTGGATTTTTTGAACAATTAAGAATCTTGAAATATAACACACTATTTAATATAAAGGTTATACGTAAAAAATTACACAATTAATTATTTTCTGAATAATTTGAACCTACAACAATTGAGCAGCTGTTGCAAATTGGTATTGTTCGAAAATATTGTTTTCAAGGTTGACAGTGTCTCATAGACTCACGAGTCGTAACCAAGGGTTAACTTATTATAAGACACACAACAATTCTGGCGTTTAAAAAGGGATCCGAATGATACCAGCGCTATCTATGAAGCAGTAGCAGATCTCAAAAATGAATTTAGATATCTAATATGAAAAGAGAGTGTTCAATTCTGCCACCGTCTCATAGATGGCGCTTGGATACGTAGCCATGCATCGGTATAGGCGGTATAGTGGACAAACTGAAAAAGAAATCACGAAGGATCTTGAAAAACGATCTGGATGCACTCGCGAAGCCTCGGTAACCTTTCGAAGACACTCGCTAATCTTGAATCTTTGGTCTATCTGTTACCAGAAAAAACTGCTAATTTTCAGAGTTCTAACAAGTCGTGCAAAGGAAAGTCCCAACATTGAGTAAGTGCAAATGGATTTTTTGAACAATTAAGAATCTTGAAATAAAACACACTATTTAAGAAAAAGGTTATATGTAAAAAATTACACAATTGATTATTTTCTGAATAATTTGAACCTACAATAATTGAGCAGCTGTTGCAAACTGGTATTGTTCGAAAATATTGTTTTCAAGGTTGACAGTGTCTCATAGACTCGCGAGTCGTAACCAAGGGTTAACGTATTATAAGACACACAACAATTCTGGCGTCTAAAAAGGGATCCGAAAGATACCAGCGCTATCTATGAAGCAGTAGCGGATCTCAAAAATGAATTTAGATATCTAATATGGAAAGAGAGTGTTCAATTCTGCCACCGTCTCATAGATGGCGCTTGGATCTCCAATTTTCTCGACTCTACCTTTGATTAGACATCTTCCGATGAAATACGTTAATAAATGCATGGCTTGTGGCTTACAAACACGACTCAACTTTCAAAGGTTTTATTAACGAAATATAACAAAATCGCTACTTGTTCGCTGGGCGAGTGACAGTTCCATACGTCAGCTGTCGGTGCTTCCCCCCATTGCGTCACCGGTAGACTCTCGAACGAAGCAATGTTGCCGGATTGTAACAACATTTTAGAACAAGATATATTCAAGCTAAAGCAGTTGTTCAACATAAGGCATATGATTCTTGGAAAAGAGCGGTATTATGAGTGTGATATTATATTTAGCATCCGCTGTCGTCAAGTGTATGAAGGTGTACCCTAAAACAAAAAAAAATCAAAAAGAAAACGGCGTCGTATAGCTTGAATTTGTACTTTACTAGCAATTCTGAACAAATGAACTTGTATATGCCATGGAGTTGAATGAATATCGGTTAAAAATGGACTTTATAAAAAAGCGTTTAAGCTCGACACGCGGTGTAGTTAGTCCGGCAAGTGTATGTATATCCGCAAGAAACATACATACACAGTCAGAGATATGCATGAGTACGTAATCGTTCGGTGCCGACTGGCAACCGGATTCCGGATTCCACGCGTGTGCGCGAGCAGCGGATCGACGGCTTTGGACAAACACCGACAAGCGGCGAACGCTGGCGATCGGTAGTAGAGATGGGCGATCGAAGGAACTCGCCTACTATCGAAGAAATAACCCATCAACTGTTAGCGAATGTTAGATCCCGCCTGACTTTCGCGTCCCATCCTAACCGTGTCGAACTTCGTACGTCCAGAACTGGCCGATACGACCGCTCCTTTGTCCCGATTGTGGAACAATCTACAAAAGGCAGCTTTTCCCAGTTCTACTACTTCAAAAATCGTATTAACGAAATTTCTTTGGGATCATCATAGCAGCCGCGGTGTACCGGCATTTAGGCTTCAGCCTGCGCAGCCGCATCGATATAAAAAAAAATATGGGTCACCGAAAATGCTGCGTAAGTAGAGGAATTACAGCAATTACCTTGCAGCACCTAGGAACGAAGATTGAGTAGAATAAAGCTCGTCATGATTGGATTACGGTGTTTGGGAGTAAAATCCCAAGATTACAATTTATTACACTACCATCCTGTCACATGCTGCTTATAGATACTGTTCCGCGCATGACATTCGTTGCCTGTTTGTCATTCGATGTTGGCAACACTGCAAAAGCAGTCATGCGCAGTTATCGTAGCCCATGGTTTTGGGCATGCCATTTGGCGCTCATTAAATGTTTCATTTTGATCAATATTTTAATCTGTGGCCTGTGCGTTAAATGTTGTTCACTAATTAACGATTATTATCCGTATTTTTATTGCATTTAATCAAAAAGTACTTCAACGTCGTAAGAAATTTTTCTAATGATGAAGAACATTCCTTACGGAACTGAATTCTTTGCGTTGTAGACGTCAAGATATGTTTACTGGTAACTCGTTTAGGTCTTCAATTGCGTTTCGCCGTCGACGTTTTTCCAAACGGCCTTTGTACGAGATAAATAATCCTACGCGGCGCGAGACGGAAACTTCCAGGAAAACAATATGAATACGCGTATCAGCAGCATCCTGAAGAAGTTCCTTATCGCTATGGGAATATGCCATTTTCACTTTTACAAATCCTCGGCTCGGTTCATCTAGACGTAATGCACGTATCCTTTAACAACGTAGCTTTTTCTTGACCGCATTCATACGGAAGCTCGATCTAAATGCTTGCGCTCCTATTGGTTCGTTGTCGCGTGGTCGGCAAACTGGCCAATAGTAACGCGAGAATTTGGCGATTGGAGCGTGTTATTTTGTTACGGCGCAATTGTCCATCTCTAGCCGGTACGCGCAAGACAAAGACGAGGAGCAAGTCGACGCGGCTGTATGACGCGTCGCTTCGACGCTGTGGCGGCGGCATAATGATGAGCGGATTATCCGTCGGGTCGCTATTCGACTCGGTTTAGTCGATTTGGCCGCCGAAGGAATGTGTTCATAGGTTATATGAGCCGATGTTATGGTATAGTCTGATTATCTAGTAATATTTCAAAACTCCCCATATCGGCAAAGGGTACATAATTCTGACGGTAGACAGAGCCGTATTCTGTTTTGATTTTCAGGGTACGCTACAGATTCATTTTGTACACGCTAAAAGCTTATTTTGTTTAGAAAAGTTCATTTGCATACAAACAACAAAACGTTGCAAACAAGTTTTATTACCTACCTGTACAATATTAATTACGTTTCGCAGATATGTTCATGAGGTTTAAGGCCGTATTTCACAGCCATCATATAAATCAGCGATCTTATAATGTATGTCGATTGAACAACCACAAATATCAAAAAAGCTCCAACATCAACCTTCAAATATAAAGCTCCTTGACTCCAGTCAGTTGAGCTATTTTTTATGGATATTGTGCCTGAACTGCTAGTATTAATGAACCAAACGCCTCTTATTGGTCAATTCGCCATTAAATTTCAAGCGGTCGCGTGGCGGAAGAATGCGCGGGGCAGGGGCAGGGCAGGCAGAGTTGCATTCAGGCCACCGACCGTCGCGTGTATCATTGCGTGCTCGTGTTTTCGTATTCACCTTGCTTGGTTGTTGCTGTTGTTGTTGTTAAGTGTATTCGAGTAATTTGTTAAGTTTCTGTTTCTGTTAAATACTGTCATCTTTGTTTTACAACACGTTGGTGGTAGTCCATCATTCGGAGGTAGCCCTGAATGCCGTCCTTGCTTTTGGCAATCACGCATCCATTCTATCTTGGGTGTAAATACACTGTAGATGCTTTTAGATTATTTCACTTGTATGTGTATTCATTCTATTGCGTTTTTAGAATCTTTTATTATTTGTTATTATTCCATTTAGGCGATGATATCTGCAATTAGTTATGAAGACAGGGCTGGTACCCTGAGCAGTCGTAAATTGACTACTATTCATATTTACAGCTGTTTTTATTTTGTTTTAGTAATTTGTGCAATTCTTATTATGTTTTTATACTGACAACAACCTCTATATCTTATAGAAAGGTTAATTCTTAGAGTGCACAAATAGGCATAGAAGCATAATCACGATAATTCATTTCTATTCCAGCGCAATTTTACCTACAATGCTGCTAGTATCTACAGGGTGACTTCGAAGTTGAGTCATTTATTTTAACAGTGAGTAGATCTGATCAAAAGGAATGTTTTTTTCCTTTACCGTTTTTCTGGTAAAATTAAAGTAACAAAGTAATAGCCCTTTGGAAGTTTGAGTACCGCCCTGTCTCAATAATAATATTATGTGCTCGTGTTTGGCAACAACGGATATAATCCGCCTTATCGGTTCATCGCATCGGAAACAAAAAAGCGAAAGAATTTGGAACGATGTTTTTACAATTATTTTATTCAGTTGTATATACAGTCAGTGTCAGTCGGTAACGCGTGAGTGAATAGTGGTGTCTGTTGCGTGGCTCAAACGAAATCAAAAATGGCACATGTTTATGCGGATCGGTTTCCCAATTGAGTGCAACCAACCCCTCGTGCCTTTGTTAATGTAGTACAACGGGCTCGTGAATCAGGTGACTTAAGACCTCACAGGGGACGGCATGCCGGTGCTCCAAGACCTCACGATCAAATACAGGTCCGCACTGAAATACTTGTCGGGAGGATACTTTATAAAACAAGGTACATTTTTTTTTTATTTTTACACACATATTTTGGTTTATCTTCCTTCTACAATCATTATCTGAAAATTAATGACTCAACTTCAAAGTCACCCTGTATAATACCATCGATGCTAACTCCAAAGTGATGTTTTCAAGTCAATTTAGGAAAGATCCGACAGTTTATTATTAATGCGCTCTACCTTGCTATTCATGTCATATAGGTTACCTTGAATTTTGTATTTTTTATATGGTCTACATTTCCGCACCAGTAAGAAAAAATCGGGAGTTTCTGGTAGCTGAACGATTGTTAAACATATCGAAAATCGACGAAATTTAAAAAATCGCCAGAAATTGCCATTATTCAGACTACGTCCCTCATTTTAATTTCTACCAATCACAAACGCGCAATTTTGAATGACAAATGGTTTCTAGACGGAAAAACTGGCAGCTGTAGCCACCAAAAATTACAATACCCTTGATAACAAGTCTTCTAGGAAAATATAATGTTTAAACAGTGCTAGTCAGCTTATGTAGTGAAAATGATTCGCTTTGGAAGTGATAAGAAAGAAGACGATGAAAATCACAAAGAACTAGTTGTGAAGACAATGTGGAATACCATGCGAAAAAATGTAAGAGATATATTTTATGAAATGGAAAATAATTTTTGATCCACTTAAAGAAGTCTAGTAGGGAAGCTCGTAATGCGAAACGAATGGGTTTGCAGGTAATAAGAAAATACTTTAATAGGTAGTGCACGATAATATGTTACTCATGAAATAGTCTTTTCAACTACCATTCGGGAATCTAATTTTTTCTTGTGTAAAAAATCGAAAAAACACAATGCAAAGTAATATTTTTTCAACAAAAAGCATTCGTGCATGTGCAAGACTCCTCGTCTTCGACCCGGATTTTTGTTGCTGTCACCACTCATGCTTCTTGTTAAAATCTTATTTAGCAACGTGTTTTTTCCATTTTTTTTTTACTCTGGCATGTACTTAATAAAGACGAATTTATCATCATTAAAATTGAAAACAATATCCGACACTCCACTATTTCCGAGCACCCGAGTTTTAGACGACTTGTCGACCGTACTATGATCCCGCTTACCCTTCGACCCTCGCAAGTTCGACGCTCCTTCCCTCCTACCCTCATCCGTTTCGCACTTATGTTTGCCCGAAAACATCATTTTCTCGTCGACCGATGCCACCAGTGGCGCACCTCGTTTCTTCATCTGGGCAGATATCGGTCCAGAGTCTATTCACCGTTATCCGTCGAAGAGGTTCGTAGGACGTTTATTCTTGCTTGAAGCCTTGTCGAGACTGATTATACTGATAAGACACAGAGTCAGGGCAAAGAGAAATTACACCGAGGCAGGATAACACGCGTGGAACGTATAGTCAACGCCAAACAAGGTGGCGTGCACGTCATCACGATAAAAATTCCCCGACCTAATGCCTAGGTTTCTATCACAAACAATTGCTCTATTGCAGTTTCATATTAATGTGATATATAAATTGTAAAATGGTCATTACTCTCTTATTATGGTTAATAGTCATATAAACATTGTTATTAAAATATCACATAAGTTGCTTTCTGATAAATTTAGACGCATTATGCGAAATAAAATGTTTTGCAAACGCTCCAATCACTTATCGACATGTAAACGCACTAAACCGATTTCGCAGCGTTGACACATTGTCACCTTGAAACTTATTTAAACTGGGAACTGACATTTGTATTAATTTTGACACTGAATCAATTTGTGGCATTTCAAATCTTTATAAATCCTTTGGCCCCGCATACTGTAAATCAACAACTGTTTGTTTCAAAACAAAATTATTCATTTTAC